GGGGACGCGAGAGGAGTGATTCGTCCTGCACGAGTTCGACCGTCACCTCTGACGAAGTCATTTCGGAGGAGGCAGATGATGGCGTTGGTGGCAGCGGCAGCGAACGAGCCATCTCTACCCGGTCAAACTCACAGTCGAGTTTTGCGGGATACGATAGCAATAGGGATGACGAGTCGATTGCTGATCCGTACACGTATACCGATCAGCGTCATCTCGAAGGTGATGAGCTGATCAACGTGGAAGACGATAGTATGCTTACAGTGCAAGAGATTTCGTGGGGTGAAGAAACAGAACGAGAAGATAGATATCGTCTGAACGCGGTACGTCCATCCTCTTCTCCTACCCTAAATACTCAATTCTATTTCCAGACATCTATATCGCGGGAATCTACACAAACAATCTCACACCTCCAACGCTCGATTCGTCTATTCCGCGTCGTGACCCTTCTCCCCCATATCCTACTTGCGTTTTACGTGGGCTCGCCACGATACATTATCCAATGCATCACCTGGTCCGCCGCATACCTCGGGCTACAATGGTACCTTGTCGTCATGCAAACCCGACGCGATATCCGACTAGGCATCACGAGCCACCTGGCGTGGAAGGTGGCTCGGTCGGGGGCGACCTGGACAGGCTCCTTGATGCTCCTCGGCGCACTCATGGAATGGTGCATCACCGAATCACCGATTACCACTGAATTAGAAATGGAGAAGAAGCCGAGGGGTGTATCGAAGGGGCATGGCGCGAGAATCGCCGAGCTTATCTCTAGTGTCGCCGGCACTCTCAAGAGATTGCTCCTCTGGAGCCTTGCACTCACGAGTGGCGTTCTCTTTTGTGGATTCTATACCTCGCTGGACCGCGACGACCCGTTCATACTCTTGATGGTCGCCTTTGCCGCCTTTTCGATCCCGCCAACCATAGCCACCATGACCCAGCGACTATACCGCGTCGTCCTAGTCGCCAGTCGCTTTCGACAGACGGCAATCAACAACGGGACCTCGTACTTTTCCCGATCGAAAGAGTACACGTTGACTTGTGTCGTGACGACCTCGCTCACCCTCCCCCTCGACATGCTCTCCTATGTCATGGGAGGAATTGCCACGTCTGCCTATCTCATGCTATGGAACGACGTGGACGCGCACCAAATCTTTGTGTGCGCGATCCATCTTCTCCATCGGTACCACTGGAACCGAGTCTGAACACTCTGCACTCTAATCTTATTCAATATAATCTATAGTGTTTCCCGTAGTCTGCACATACCTATTCCCCTCCCTCACCCTAGAGAACGAGCTCGCGCAAGGCGACTCAATTGTACGATCAGAAAACAATGATCAAGAAACTTTGTACGGTATATTCTCGTTTGAATCGTCATGTAAAAATCACATTGCCTCCTATGCTATTCACTTGTGCCCTCTTGTGCCCACGTACGCAATGCTGGTTTCGCTGTATACGCATTCAAATGTCCATTCTGCTAGAATCCTCCATGAACCTCCTCAGCTGCACACGATAACCGAAAGATACCCCCAGCCTCATTACGGTTTTCTCTGCGAGTATCAGGTCGAACAAAGGCTAACTGACATGGGTATGCCACACCTACGCTCTATTGCGGCTTATCCTCTCTTCTGTGGGCCCAAAGTCTGACGAGATCCAACAGGGCGACTGGTCAGAGTTGTTGCAACATCAGGAAAGCATCGAGATTCCCAGCCTCGTTACGTTCGTTCTTGCGGACCAAGGAGATGTTTGAAGAGGCTGGAGAAAAGAGACGAGACCGGCTCGCCACTTTGACGATCCAGCAGCGCCGCAACGCTCGTCGCGCGTCGATTTCGGCTATCTAATCTCAAGTGGAATCGTCTGTTTGTGGAGTATCTACGCCTGGTAGAGACCGCGTCTCGCGATGGGGGTGCGTAAGCACGCACGCGCAAACGATGTAGAAGGCTACACGCATAATTAAGATAATTGTAAGAGAAATATACGTGCATAATAGATGGATAACTCGACTATTAACATTATGGAGGGGATATCTACGAGATATTCGGCCTATTCCTCGAGAACGCGTTCGCCCCCTTGATCACTCCCCATCTCGCGAAATGAGCAAACTAAACCCTTTTCCACACTTCTACCTACTAATTTGATTCGAATCGAGTATCGTACGATGATTTTTCAGCTTACTCGCCTGGTTGAGCGCTCCGGCAATACAGTACGAATCTATACGCATTCAAAGTGAGGTGGTATCCTGAACCTCCTCGAGAAAACCCAGCTGCGAAACGAAGGAAAACCCAGCCTCAAAGATCCTTTTTGTGCGTAAATCCTCACTGGCATTGCCTAATATGTGGCATAGCTTGTGGGGACCACTGATCAGCCTACCCCCTCCTCTCGATCGTTCCCCATTCTCATTTCTGACAGGATCTATCGGAAGCGCTTCAAAAACGTCGTACACCTCAAGATATCGACGATTATCCCAGCCTCATTCACTCGTTTTTCGCCCGCAACTCCAGACAGAAAGCTGCGCGTCCCCACACTCAGGTACGCCACTACCCCAGCTCGCCGCAAGCACGAGGTGGTCCTCGTCGCCTCCCCTGCAACAAACTGGCCATCCCAGGCTCATTATTCGAGTATTTGCGAGTTCAGTTCATAACCTATGGCCGTGATCTATTGCTATTTGTATTGTATACGGCCAGACCCTGGCCGACCGTACTTGTGGTCGAGCTGACAAGCTGCTTACATCTGCCAACTCCTCCAAAAACTAGCATATATACCAGCCTCTAGAACGCGTTTACCGTGAAGAAACTTCGTATCCTCCTCAGGAGGTGGACACGAGCCCTCTTCTCGTTCTGACGAGTTCCCATCTACACTGCACTGGGCATGTGCGCCACATCCATCCTGATCCTCCTCCTCCAAGTTCCAACCACCGGCCCAGCCTCGCTCGCGTCTTTCCCGAGGGTAATCTCTCTGTAATGCGGACGGATCATTGACCACCGAGCCCGTCTTCCCAGCCTCGGCCGTTCTCTTTCTCGCGAGCTGGATACGCGCGCTGACGATTCACCGTTTCGCAGATGGATTTCGTGTAAAACCAAGTCCTAATATTCCTTTAATGAGACCGTACCCAATTCCAATTTGTGGATATGTGGTTGTGGTCCTCTGGCCACGAGGGCAATTCTTCTTCCAAGACTTCTGAAACTTGTTCCGGCTTGGTCCAAGAGAACTCCAACTGGTGGACGGAAATGTGTCGAAATTGGCCCCAATTCAGCTCGTCGGTACCAGGAACTACCGACCTTGATTCCAGCATAAGTACGTGAAGTGGAGAAGAATGAGGTCTTACATGAGAATTGAATTCATTAGTACTAGTAATGCCCGTTTAATCCGACGGAGAATAATTGGTGGAATGGAATCGCCCGATTCATCTTCGCTCGCGGGGGCATCACCTACTACGTCTAGGCGTGTTGACGTTCGTTTCCATCTAAAGCGTTCTTCGCATAGTATACTTGTAGAATTATTAAATATAATCCGATACTTTATTTTGAATTTAGGGGCTCACCATCTAATCCAGCCGTCCTCGACGAATTCCGTAGAGGCCGAGCATTTGGGGCAGTTTTTACCCTCTTGATCCTTTACCATGCTCATCTCAATCGTGATTCCCAATGAAAGAATGGATGACCATAGGACTGGCTTCAGGATATTCTGTTCGGGACCGTAGACCAAATGATATTTTCCAGATTTCACCAAGTCGGCTCCTGGCTGGCTCCTGTAATAGCCTTGAATCACATCGGTGAACAACTATCAGATTGCGTGAGTTAGTGATCAAGACTAGAGAAGCAAGCCTACCTGGTAAGTGCGACATAAGATGAATGGAATCGGTACAGGATTGCCAACGGCGTCGATAAATGACACAGTTTGCAACTGTGGTCTCAAATTTCGGAT